AAGGAACGATTGGCCATCGGTGATCGGTCCTGTGGGAACAATGCTCCGTCCTCTCGAGGACGCGTGGTCAATGGTCTAACCGCTAAGACATGCAAAACATAAGAGTACGCCCCCCCCCCCCGCTGTATGGAGGATCCTGAACCTAATGATTGAAAGCATGGCCGCATCAACCCGTGCCACGCGGTTCCACCCGCACCGTACCGTACCAAGAAAACGGGTTATTTGGGATCGCGGCACGCAGGATGTCTCCCGTGCCGCGCACGCACGGATTCATGACGTGGATTTCTTCCCACATCAACTCGGCATTCTTTCGCTGTCGTCCTGCTTACCCACTGCTTGGCTAGCTATCCGGAAAGCGAGTAGTGGTCGTCACTTCTCCCGGTTGGAAATTCTCGACCTCGCCTTACCAACAGCTCATCGACCCCCGTCTCTACCGACCCTCCCTTCTCAAACACCGTCACTGTACAGGCAAACACGGCACTGCTGTCGTCGTTGGACACAACGATGGTCACCTTTTCAAAGTCATGGCGACGCCGCAAAAGTGTCCCTCATTGAACCCCCTCAAAACTGACGGCCGCTCTTTTGAACGTAATACCGTCGCAAAGTTGCCCCTTCCAAGTTTTCCCACGCTTGTTTAACATGGAATGTGCTACATACTCTAATGAGGCAGCCGGTGAGACAAGCAACCTGCCAACGACCCCCTCCTTTTAGGCTACAAAAGTGACACCCCGCAAACAACACGGCAATCTGTATCTATAAAACAATCAGGCTTAATATTTTACACTGGCCCCATGAGGCGGTCGGGTTCCGGTTACTTTGCCCATACAAATCCATCTTCTCGCCTAACAAGACTTGAAGAAAAAAAGGGTGCGTAGGTCGCAATGTGGAGATAGGTCCTCTTCATAACAGGGTACAGCAGTACCCCCAACGGCTTCTACCCGTCGAGGACGACATTCTTCACAATCAATCATCGTCAACAAGGAAGACCGCTTGCCAACCATTGTCGCCAAAGAGGGCAGAGGGCGGCCGCTTCACAACCAACCATCGTCAAATACAACGCGGCCGCTTTTCCCAATCATCATTGCCAAGCACGGCGCCAATCGCCATCATCGTCAAACCAAGGGCGTCCGCTTCACAATCAACCGTCATCAATCAAAGGACGGCCGCTTGGCCGGAGACACCGACGATGATCCCGCCGCAGACCGCGAGAAGCCCCGCTCGGAGGCGGCCAGGTCGTTGTGCGCGTCGGACAGGCTGGCCGACTGGCGGTCGTGGTGGCGGAGGCGGCAGACCGGGCCCGGCGAGTAGACCGTCGGTTTAACGCTCACCTTTTTCGAATCAAAAGAACGAACAAGAACAGCAAGTAAGAACGAGGAGAAGGAGTGGGCGGACCCCAACAATACGGGTGTTTCTCGGGAAGGAAAACAAACGACGAAACGCGTGTGTAAAACTACTGTGGCTCTTTCGAATCAAGAATAACGAGATAGGAAGAAGAAAGCGAACCCAACGGATGTTTTGGACGAAAACGAACGGAAGCTTGTGTGGGCTTAAGTCGTCCCGAAGATCCTGCCTGGCACCAGTCTACACGCAAGCCTGTCCACATTTTTTGGACGGATCGGCCGGGGTCACACATACACATGTAGGAGGAAGGTCACAAGCTGACATGCAAGCGAAGTAGACAGGCAGCCGAAGACCGGGGAAAAAAAAGCATGGTAGAAAGAATACAGCATGCCAACAGACAGTAGGGTTACAGATTTTGCAAGCAAAAACACGGTGAGGTTGGCCGGGGTGTGTGTGCGATGGTGAGAGCTCGTTCGAGGACATCAATGATAAGGGCAAGGACGTTACCGACCAAACACGCCAAGTCACCTGGTTGAGGCACACGATGACGCAGCTGCAGTTGTCCGAGCCCGACATCTTGCCCAGCGTCTTACACAACTGTTTGTTTAACACGACAGCATAAAAAACGGAAAAAATCGAGGCAAGGAACCGGAGAGGAAGCAACAAAAATCATATTCGCAGACAGCGAGAAGCTCTTTCCCACTTTTTTATTTCTTTCTTTGGCATATCAGAACAACAGCGTAGCAGCAGCAGCCGTAGCGAGTTACAAGCAGCAGCAGCAACAACAACAACAACAGTGAAAGCAAGAATTTTTGGGCATCAACGCGGGATTTATGGCAGTGTATCAACGTCCCCAGCCGAGTCAAGACGGTCTCGATCGAAGAACACAGGCTGCACATTTTCGCTTGCGCGAGAGACAACACGCTGCCAGGTACTTCTTGTTCCCTCTCACACCAAGCGAAACCTGCCTGAATACTGTCAAGTGTTCGAATAAAAGTGTCAAAGTTGGTTCCGCACCGAGCAACCAGCGCGCAACACACCTTGTTCCAAGGCACCCATCTCCCTCGCACTCGACTCATCGTGCACCCGAAACAACCAACGCACCTCCACCCACCGACCACTACCATCTACCATCTACCATCTACCATCTACCATCTACCATCTACCATCCACAACTTGCACACACACACACACACACACCACACATGTTGAGCAGCAATGCTGCCTGATAATGTTGGATCTTCTCCTTGTACTCCAGAACCACAAGCAGGACAGTGTCGTCCAACTCCTGCGCCGCCCCTGTCAGTGGAACCCCGAGTTACCCTTTCAATAGAAAGCGTCTTGGCATTATTGATTCCGCTAAAAGACTGACGTCTTTCCCATTGGCCAGACGGGTATGTAGCGGTCCATGCTATCACACACACACACACACACACACACACACACACACACACACACACACACACACACACACACACACACACACACAGCCGGTTAGCGCGGTCGATGTTAATAATAAAAACACACACCTCGCGGCTAGCTCGCTGCACGTCCCGGTGTTTGAGCAGCCTCCGGTGCACATACGAGACCACCTGCTGGCTCGAGACGAGATCCCACACGCCATCGCACGCCAAAACCAAGAACTCATCGTCCGGGTGCACGACCACCTGAGGAGAAGCGCACAACATAGGCGGGGGTGTAAGGGGGGGGGCGGGGGGGGGGGCGGGGGGCACCGTAGTCGTTCGACTATGGACCAAGCATCCCCCTCAAAAAGGAGGAATACCGCGCCAACTCTTTACGTACGATACCGCCAAAAACAATTAGCCGGGGGAGTGGTAGTGGTCGGGGGCTGGTCGTTAGGAGCAGCGGAATGTGAGCCGGTTGAAATGGGAGCTCTTGATCTTGCAGTCGTACGGCACTACTGTAGGTACGCTGGAAAATTCTTGCTTGTACCTTATTCTCGTTCCTTTTCGGCTTTCCCTGCCACCGTCGATCTCCTGCTACAGAAAAGGTCACAACAACAACAACAACAACAACAACAACCAACGCACCGATCTCGTTTCTGGTTTCGAAATCAGCTGCTGCCCTCGCCACATGTCGCCGTCCGGAGGGGGCGGTGGGTACTCCTTGAACGCGATGTCCCCGAACGCTCGGGTTACTCCGAGGATACCGTTAAGCCGGTCACGGGAGATGTATCCTACAAACGAAAAGACGGAGGCACACGAACACACGTCGACCGAAGCGACAACAAGTTTAGTAAGCATGCGGTTGTGGATTGGGCGCATCATGCCAGGAAATTTCAACAACACTGTTTGGGGGCGTTATAGAGCACACTCCACTCCGCTGCAGTATCTCGCACAATCTTGGGCTACTTTCGGCCAACACTTGGTTAGGCTTAGCGCACACCAAAACTGCTTCTCCAGGCGTGTGCAGGGAAACAAGCCCAACCGACAGCATCGACGGTCGCGATGGTCGTCACCACGAGAATTACCAGGAGCTGGCCCAAGATTACCTGCCGTTCACTTTTTCTTCCCTTCCCGAAAAACTCGGGAATCAACAACAACACCAACTCCACGCAAAGAAGCAAAGAAAAAAACAGTCGCATGGCTTTTCAATTATTAGGGCATTGCTTGCCACTGAACTAGGCACGTAAATCGAGAAAAAACCAACGCCCTTGTCGACACAGCAGCAGAGGCATGAACAGAGGCTTTGCGATGGAAGAAACGTCCTCATCCTGTCTGCCAAAAGGCGCCCACCCAAAAAGAAAAAGCTGAACATGCTCTCACCCCCCGCTTCCTTAACCCTCGCCCTCTCGTCGTCTCTCGAAGGGCGGTGGTCGGAGGTCAGGTCGATAGCCACGCCCCTTCGGCATAATACTGCTCGGCAGTCGCCGACGTTGCCCGCGTAGATCACGGTTTGCTGGGGGGGGGAGGGAGGACGTACGAAATACGGGAGGACGAAGACAACAGACGAGGGGGGGCTGCAGAGTGAGACCAGGATACAAGGGAACATGGCGATTATCGCAACACGCGAAGGACGAACGGACCAACAACAAGGATAGCACCCGGGAAGGCGGGTAGCAACGGGAATAAGACAAATAGCCAATCAGCTCAGCAGAACCACATTGTCTCGTGTAGGTAGAGATCAATAAATCGACCGCTGTTGCTGCACTTCATAAAACTAAAATCACCGAGAGGGAAGGAGACAGAGAAGGAGGGCAGGAAGAGGGGGGGTGGCTGCCCAACGAAAAAAGAGGCAACAAAGTCACGCTCATCGTGACACGTTGCCGGGGCGGACGGACGCTCGAGTCATGCCCGGTGAGAGTGCGAACCGAAAAAAAAAAAAAACATAAAACGCACAACAAGGCGATATTATCGTGGAGGGACCGACTTCACGTTCAACACAAAAAGAACACACGTATTCACAGATTAGCCAAAAGCACACCTTTCCGACTTTCGTGGCCACCGCGACCACCGCCGTGGCGCCGCCGGTCATACCGGGAGAGGCCCCGCTCGGCCTGCTCCGGACGTCGCTGCTGCTGCTGGCCTCCCGGGGCCGCCGACGCGACGCCAGTGGTTTCCCGCCGCCACTACCGTAGTCTTCGACCTCGCCGCCGCCTGGGTTCTCCAAAATGGAGCCGCAAGCATCACAACCACCACCACGCGGCGATGATACCGCTGCTGATGCCGGTGCCCGCGCTGATGCCGCCGCTGGTGCCCCCGAACCGACGGCGTCATGGCCGCCGCCGCCGCCGCCCTTTCGGCGCTCCCGTCCCGCCGACAGCGTTTCTCCTCCCGTCGACACGGACGGCGATCGTGATCGCGAGGGCGAGGGTGACCGCGACCTAGACCTGTCGCGCCCCAGCATCCGGAACTGAGCCTCGAGGCACGCGATGTCCATCTCGTAGCAGCCGCGCTCAATGGCGGCGGAGATGCTGTCCGTGAAGCATTTCTGTTTTTTCGGTTGCAAGGGGTCGGTTGGGGAACATAAGAATCTATAGCCGAGTGATTTGTGATGATGGGGGGGGGGGGTACTCACGTAAACGCATGCCGTAGTCGTTAGACCATTGACCTCGCATCCCTACAATACCGGGGCGGAACGATAAGCCGTTTACTCACCGGCCGAGGCAATGTCTCTTTGCATTTGCTGTGCTAAACCAGATATGCCATGGGTTGATTGTCTGGCGGTGTGTGTGTGTGTGATTAGAGCCGTGGTCGTTAGACCACTGACCTCGCATCCCCACTAAGCCAGGGAAGGGGGGGGGCTTCCTTCCTGTGCGATACCCTCACTGATGAGGCGACCACCTACGAAACCTACGCATACGCTACACTACGCATGCGCGCACCCCACCTGCTTGGCGATGAGCTTGTGCAGCCCCTTCTGCAGGGCCTCCGCGACGACATCCCCGTCGTGCCCGTCGTACACCCCGAAGAACGCCGCGCACAGCGGCGTCGACAGCGACGGCGACATCGGCGGAGACCTCTGCTTCTCCTCCCGTCCGCTCGCCCCTCCTTTCTCCGCTGTAGTTTCTTTCTCCTCGTTCGTCGCGGCGAGCCCGCCCATACCAGTGTCCTCCGGTGCCATCGCCCCGGTGCCAGCGGTAGCAGCGGGGTCACCAACGGCGACGGTAGCGACGGCGCAAGGGGTAGCCTGAGCGACCGCCCCGGGCGGGAAAAAACGCCTCCGGGCCGCCTCGTCTTTGCCGCTGCTGCGAGGAGAGGAGTTGCTGCGAGAAAGGATGATCGAGCTCGGGAAAAAGCCCTCGGAGCGGCTTCGGAAGGACGGCGTAGCGTCGGCTTTGAAGATATCGGCCACGGCCACCGTCCGGTCTTCCATTACCCGCCGGCTGCCGATTTCCGCCGAGTGGCCATAGCGGACGCCCACGGTAAGGTTTGCCTGCGTTTTGATTTCGATAAAAAAACACGTGTGTCTGTGCTCGCACTGGAAAGAGAACGGTAACGCAACCGGGACTCACATTGTGAAAGAACCATTATATAAACTCTGTTCGCACTCCTCAGGGGGAACGTTTTCTGGAATCAACCAAACAGGCTTGAGGCAGATAAATAGAAGATATTCAACTTCATGGGACGACGAACGCCGGCACGTGTGTGTAATCGGGCAGCGACCAAGAGTTAGCATCACAGAGGGACTGGACAACTGGGACTGGAAACGCTGGAAAATAGCATCAGCATCACAAGCAGTTTTCGTCTCATGCAGGTCCATCATCCGACGGATTGCTGCAAGAAACATACCAAGTCCTCCGTCCATCATACTTCCCCCTTTATGCATTCGTCAAACTTGGCGCTACAGCAGCGTCAAGAACGCAACCTCTTCGCCGTAGGGCCGTAGGGCGAAGTCAGTCAGCTTGTCGACGACGACAAGTCACTGCGTAGGCACAGAGAATGAACAGGCCTTCGTTTCTTTTCCCACGGGTCAGCAAGATAGACTTCGATAGCTCGCCACGCTTCCTCGTCACCCCCACGCCCACAAAACGCCATCACAACAACAAACTCCCGCCACACCTGATCGCCCCACGTTCTGGCCTGCACGGCTTCCTGCGGGATATCCTCCAGTTCAAGCGGCTATGCACCGGAGAGAGCAAAAAAAAAAAGAAAAAACGCGCAAAGTAAGGTTCAATTTCGTTTGTTCTCGAAACTACAACTAGGTTCTCATTCGTTGGATGCCTTCCAAATCGGGGAGCTGACGACAACGAGCAATGATGGAGGAGGCGTTGTCTTTGTAGACGTTTTCTTTTATTTTCTGCCTTCGACACATCATACTTCTATAAACTGTAGTAATAGAAAACATTTTCGGTGAGCTTGTTGTGCGTACCAGCCACGGACCACACACCCAAGCCGGTTAGCGCGGTCGATGTCAATGATGCAAAAAAAAAAATCCCTTCAACGGCCCAATACCTTCCACATTTCTTTGCGAGAGAAGCTCATCGCATCTACCAAGGAGCAAACGACTGCACACACACAAGGGTAAGGGTCAGCCATCCATCTTGTAGTGTGCGCCGCGCTGCAGCATGTCTTCAAATGCCCTATTAATAATACCGTGTATGACACAAGATAACACAACCCCTTGACCAATTTTCGAAGCTCGATTTCTCAACTGCAGGAACAGTCATAGCGCCGAAAACGGCGGCGTTGAAACCGTCTCGTCGAGAGCTTGTCGAAAATGTATCGTTTCGTTCATGCATCCCCTTCGTCGTGGAGTAATCGAGCTTTGAAAATCGGTCCAGGGGGTGTGTTATCTTGTGTCATATACGGTAGTCAATGCCCGACACGACCAAGACAGACGTTGAAGACCCATCCAATTTCTGAAAGGGGATCTTCTCCACACGGAGCAAAAACATGACGTCATCATCACCCTGGCCAGAAAAAAAAAAAAACAGAGGTCCTCGGCGACCCCAACTAAAGCATCGAGCTCAATACAGTGGCTCCAAGTACTAAAAAACAGCGGGTAAAAGGCAAGCAAGCACGTCTCTCTTCGGCCTTTCTATGGATCACAATGTGTATCTTGTGCTCGCTTAGTCGAGATAAATCCAGATCTTTAGGGGTGGCAGAAGAAGTGTGCTACTGGGTTGGTGTTGAAAGCATGCCGGCGCAGACTCGGACGAAACGGGTCCTGCCCCCCGAGACTTGGTTGTATGCACCTACCAGGGGTCTTGCTTCGACCTGGCCGTCACAAGACTTGCGTCTGCGTACATACACCGGTTCCGTGGAAGACACACACAGGCCACTCACTCACTCACTGCCCGCAATCATGTACTCGACTTGACTTGACTCGGAAAACGAAGTATCACAACGACAGGCATGAGCTGCCCGCCGCCGGCGGGGGAGGGGGGGCGATCGGGAAAAAAAGCAAACGGCTTCGGATGGGATGAATCTGATGCATAATTGTATCGTGAAGATCCAGCAGGGTACGGGGGCAAGACCGACGCCCCATGGAGATGGCAGGCTTGAGGTTAAAAACGACCTACAACGGCAAGGACAGATATCCAGGGGGTAGGGGGGGAGGGGAGAGAAGCGTCGTTTTCTTCGGGTACCCGGGTTCAGTAAAACCAGACTGCGTTGCATCACCTCAAACCCGACGAAGCTCAGGCCTTCGGTCATGCTCGATGCCGTCCGCGGGGAGAGCCCTAGCTCGATCGCATCCGGGTCCACCGACACCGCGCCTTGCCAGTCCTCATAGAACTCCTGTTGCAGAGTTTGTTCATGCGGGGGCGCGATTCCCAAATCCAGCCCATTCGACGACGCGCGCATTCCGTTGCAAGCGGTTTTCGACGAACAGGGAGCACACGGGATTACAAAGGTCGGTCGACTTTCAACAGGGTCATGTGGATGTATTTCGAGGTTCAGTCAAGATGCGCGGTGCCGGATATGCCCTGTTTTTCGGGTTCTATCCTTGTGTGGTCATCTTGAGGTAGCAGTACCCCTGTTACACCTGTACTTTCTTTTAGGACCCTCCGTGGACGCGGAACCCCGATTTGTTTCCTACATACCGCGTGGATCGGCACGGAAGATGGAGGTATTTGTTTCCTGTCGGAACGCTTTCAACGTCGAACCAAATACCGCTATTGACAAGTGCGGCACACCTACCACACAGCAAAACTCTCTCCATGGCTTTTATCTACCACCTCTGCAACTGCTTTCAAGAGCTGGCATAGCTCCTCCGGCGGTAGCTCCCTTGCAGCTGCCGGACCCTTCGCGTACTGCTCCAAGAATCGCGGCAGGTATCACCCATTTTGCTTACACAGCTGGTTAAAAGGGCGTGTCGGCGTGCCTAGGCCATCAGCCAGCAGCCGCGTGTTAGCAAACACGTGCCAGCAGCGCAACGGGTATGAAGTGGTCCGTCTGAAACAAAGCAGCATACATGCACCAACGCCGTCTTGCACGCGGTACACACGCACCACTTATCAACGGCCACCAGACAAAGAAACAAACAGCCGCAAGACTGCAGAAATCAAGGCTGGTTTGTGCGGGGCACCCTCGCTCCCACCCACCTCTTGATCGTCGTACGCGTTAACATCGCTCTCGCTCGAATCCTGGACGCACAGGCTGCCCCTGACGGCAAACGAGCCCCCGATTCCGCCAGTGCTCGATCGCCGCGGCCGCCGCCGGAGCCACGAGGCGGCATCGAGGCCCGCGTAACGCAGGCCGGCGTCGCTGATGCGCCGTCTCCAGGACGATGTCGCCGCCGCCGCCGCCGCCGCCGCCGCCGCCGCCGGTGGATGACCGTGATAGGGGTGGTTGGTCGGGGAGACGGGGTTGGGAGCGTCATCATCCCCCCCCCCGAACGTGGCGTTGTTGGGCCCGCCGGTCCCGTTCGAAATCGCTCCTTCGTACTCGAAGGCACCTGCGGTTGTAGGGCTGTGACGTTTGCTTTCCTCTGTCGCCACTGCTGCAGATGCAGTTGCTGTTGCGCCTGCGAAATCATTCTGGAGCGGCTGCTGCTGCTGCTGCTGCTGCTGCTGCTGCGCCGACGATGATCCCGCCGTCGCGTGTACGTGGACACCGCCCTCCCTGTGCTCACCCAGGGCAAATACAGCAGCAGAACGATGAACAGTGGAAGGGCGAGCACCACGAGAACAGCGGCCATCGCTACCGTTGTCGGCGCGGCCCTTGCCCTCGCGGATGCCGCGGCGTCGTTGCCGTGACGACTCTTGCAACCCAGCCGAAAAATCGTCGTCGCTTGCGCCCAGCTTGTCCTGGTCACTCTCACGCCCATCCTCGTCATCGCTGATTTCGGGGGATTGGGGGAGGGGGGGAGCAGGACCTCGTCACGGTAAATATTTCGGGAGCTACGCTCATACCCGCAGGTTTACCAAGAGATGACGGTTGCGCTTTTTGGGGAGGCGGTGCCGTTCCGATCACAATTTGCGAAAAAACGACACTCCCCGCGCACGGTTTGTGATGCAGGCAACATGACACACACGCGTCCTTTCACACCTATGAATGGCTCAACGTACACAAGGTAAATCCCTCCCGTTTGTTCGACAAACCTGCTCATAAGGAAGGACTGCACAAAGTAGTCGTGATCCGTCCTGCTAGGCACAACCTCGTCCTCGTCCTCGTCGTCGTCCTCCTCCTCTTCAATCTTGCCAGTTGCCACCCCTTCACCCTCCTCTTTTTTCACTCTCCACGCTTTCTCTGGCAACATCATTCCCACCGCCACCGTCGCTCCTTCTTCATCCCCGTCTCCGCCCTCCTCGCTGAGGAAAGACCCGCGGAACCTGTTCAATCGCCCCGGGATGAATGGTACATCATAGCGGATAATCAAGGCACGTTGTAACTGGGAGGTAGGGGGGAGGATAGATATTCCCCTCTATCGGTTGGACTGGGGAATCAAGGCGCGCTGTTGTGCCGTTGCGGGAGGCAGGCGCGGGAGGATACGTATTGCCCTTTTGATTGGTTGGATCCTCACCTGCGCGACTGGCAAGCACTGCTCACTGCAGCGCGACTGCGGCCAGGAAATAACGACGACGAGATCGACCGATTGCGCCGCTGCAGCGGGAACGTAACCAGGGATTGGACTGCAAAAAGTAACGAAAAAATGAACATGCGACAAACTCAACCGCCGCCGCCGCCGTCATCGTGTCTGAACCGCTATCTCTGGCAGGCGTTACCCAGAGAGGAACCCACGTGAAACCCTGCATGAATATATGTACGCGTTCGATGTCTCACCCACACGAGGGCGACGGAGGCGGCAGCGGCGGCGCATCGTGAAGCGAAGCATCCAAACAACGCTTACGAACAGCGCTTCCTCCGCCCCCCCCAGCTCCGCCGCCCGCCTCCTCCTTCTTCCCACTAGCGGTACCACTCGCCGCCAACGCCGCCGGTGATGGAGGCGTTAGTTCGGGGTAATCAACGATGATACCCCGGTCTTCTTCTTGTGTGACTGTCGGGTGATCCGATGACGCCGCGTCCACCTGAGACCAGGGAGATCTGGCGCCGAGGGTGCTAAGAGGACACGGGGTGGTCTTGGAGGGACGGCGGCCACGGTGGTGCGCGTGCGGCTCGTGTGGGACCGGAGACAGCGGCAGCCTGCAATTGATCGTTTAGGCAGGGGCGAGGGAATAAAAACACCGTGAAGTGAAGTGAGCGAGAGAAACATCATCGGTGCGGACGATAGTGGTAGGTACTGCCGGAGGTGAAATGATGTAAGAAACAACACCCCCTGAAAGCTCGACTACTCCACGACGAAGAGGAAGCACACATAAAACGATACGTTTTCGGAAAAAGCTCTCGACGTCACGACGCCGTTTTCGGCCCGGCCATTCTTTCTGGTGTGGGAAAATCGATCTTTATAAACCGGTCCGCGGGGTGTGGTGTATTATGCCACCTATAGTAGCAGTGTTATGCCACCTATAGTAATAGCAGTGTTATGCCACCTATAGTAGCAGTGTTATACCACCGATAGCAGCAGTGTTATGCCACCTATAGTAGCAGCAAGGCACGCGGGGTGGTGATGAGGTACAGTAGCTCGTGCACTCGGGCTCAATCGCGGTGTTTTTGTGAGCTTCTGCCTGATTTCGGCCGGATTGATGGCGTTTGAGCCAAAGACACTGGTTAACATTACGACGAAACACAAACACGTCTAACTACGTGCGCGTAAGTAACTACGCAGCAAGGGAAGCGACAACAACATCATCACTAACGACAACAACAACAACAACAACAACAACAACAACAACAACAACAACAACAACAACAACAACAACAACAACAACAACAACAACAACAACAACAACAACAACAATAACATGTTGCCTCACGTGCTGGTTCGCGCCGGACGAAGAAGGCTGAAGGTCGACGAGGCGGCCGTCGTAGTGCAGAGCCGTGCCTTCACGTTCGTCTCTCCTCGTGAGTCTCGGGCAAGCTTAGATGACACCTTTTCGTAATCATTCTTTTTTTTAGTGTTGTTGAAACCCAACAGAAAAAGATCGGCGATCGTCCATCGCCCACGTCGTCCATTTGGTACGCACATCATGAAGCGCGCGAAGAAGAATCACGAAAACACGAGACGGGAGCGAGCGGGTGGAGCATACCGGGGGGTGCAGAAGGGATGAACAAAGCCAGGATACGCCAGGGGGAGGAAGGAGGGAGAGCAACGGAGAGGGAGGGAGAGCAGAAGACAAGGAGGGAGGGAGGGAGGGAGGGAGGGAGGGAGGGTCGGACAGGGATTGATGAAAACCCTACTTGCGATGTGGTGGCATACTTCACGCCAAGGAAATAATAAATATAACCAAAGCACAGAGAAGGGACGAAAGGCATTCCCAGCGCGCAAGCACCGAACAACGGGAGAAGTCCTTGTCTCAACCACCTTGTACAGCCTCCCCCCTCTGTTGACCTTCGAAAAATTACAAACGCCCGTGCGTGTCTACCAACAAAACCCACCACCATCAAGTCGTTCCTCCTCGAAAACGACGCCCGGTGCTGCCTCGCCTGGTCAGCGGATACCTCTTCCCTAGCACAAAAGCTCCGGCCCTCCGCATCGCCGCTTGCCCCGACTGCGTCGAGACAGGGAAGAACGTTTATTTAGGGTTACTCCACGATGTAGAACAAACGTGGGAATCGCCCTTGACGGACTTTGGGGACATTGTGCCCGTTATGAATCTCAAATAAACTTATCACTATCTTGATTTCTTTTTTTTTCTCAGCACAAGTGGAGTTCAAGATACGCGGTTCACACCTACATGCGGCGTAAGCGACGACAGCCGGATTTCTCCGGCTCGTAGGTGACGCATTGCAGGTTTCCGTTGTCGTTATCTCGTACAATGCTACCAACAGACGCAGTCATGACGCCTCAGGGCCGAAACACAATCTCTCCAGCTATAGGCGCACCGAGGCATGCCCCAGTTGTGTGTGTGCAACGTCGCTCCTACTTGGATCGTTTCCTTCCAAAACGCACGGTCGTGTGTTGGAGGGCAAGTTTCAAGCCCGCCTCGATAGGTTCGTGGCACTGGCGCTGCCCTGTGTTGTCAGTAGAATCGGTGTCCGTTGTCGTTTTTCGCGCGAGCAAACGCCACAGCCCGTCCCATGCTACACCGGACGCGCGACGACACCCTTCCCCACCCCCGATTACGCCTGCATCGCAGAGGGAAAGTCTCACCTCCGCCTCCCCGACGATGGCAGGCCCCATCCCCGCTTGGACCTCCGCCGCCGCCGCCGCCGCCGCCGCCGCCGGCCCCTGAACACTTCCCCACTGGCAGCCAAACGTCGCTTCTCCTGGAGAACGTGGCTCGGTGAAGCTGAGCCTGGTCGGCAGAGACTTCCTGCCGCGCGGGCTTCTTCTTCTCCTCGTTGGACTCATTCCCGTCGGCATCATCCGCCGCCGCCGCCGCCGCCGCCGCCGCCGGTACCGGTACCGGTACCGGAACCGGGGATGCTACGGGCCCCCCGAAGCTCGATGATGTCCTCCGCGGCAGCGGGGGCGACCGGGGGGACAGCGAGTCGGCCGCCCGTTGCTCTTCCTGTTGCGGCGAAGCTACAAGAGAAGGAGGAGGAGGAGGAGGGTGGTGGTGGCCAGCGGTGACAAGGGAAGGGGAGCTAGTGCGTCCTCCTCCTGCTCCTCCTCCTCCTCCTCCTCCTCCTCCTCCTCCTCCCGCCGCCGCCGCCGCCGTCGTGGGGGTTCCCGGGGGGGACGGGCAGGCCTGGGACGCCGGGAGACGAGACGCCGGGGCCGCGGAGATAAAGAAAGAGGGCGACGATCGCCCCCTTGAGGCCACCGCTGCCGCCGGACTGGGCGGCGAACCGCGCGTCGGGGCGCATTCCGCCGTCCTGCCGTACGAAGGTGATAAATTCGCCGGGAAGGGGGGGGGCGGAGCGGTAGAACCGAGACGGGAGGGCGAAGGTCTGTTCGTGTAAGGGCGTGTGGACGGTGTGCAGGTGTGCTATGTAGCTGTTCAGACAACAAGGACGGCGGGAGTGCGCAGCTTAGGGCGTGGTGGAAAGCGGAAAACAATCGCCGACAGAATGGTCGGAATAGTTCCAGCTTTCATCCGCGGGGCGAACCTCGCAGCAGTGACGATGCCCTCCTCCCCTTCCCGTTCTATCGGCCCTGTGGGTGGGACTCCGAATATGTGTCCCGCTTCAGCATAGCAGAGAGCGTGAGGGTTCACGATGGTACCACGCTACGTCTGTCGATGGATCACAACAAAGAGCTCACCCCCCCCCACAAAGCTGTTGTGGGAGCACGGAAGTCCCCACTACAGGACCGCATCACGATAGGGGTCTGAGGGTCAAGGGCCACGCAAGCACAACTTTACACGACATGGGATCTGAGGGCAGAAAGCCCTCCCTCTCGCCACACACACAAAACATTGGGGTCACCTGGCGTACGACATAGAGGACGGCAGAGACCTCGTCGATTCGCCCCTCATCAAGTTGTGGACAGGGACTCTGCCGCCATTAGCCCACCACTTATGTGAACCGAACCTGTCCGGGTGGCGAGGGGGAGTCTGCGGCGGCAGCAGGGGAGGGGGGGGGGGGGGGGGGGGGGGG